GTGGTCGGCCGACGGTAACGCTACTTGGACCTTCAATGTTTGTGTTGCACTCGGTGCTGGTCCTTTTGTCATCGTAAATTTGTGTATGGCTCCATCACCCGTCTGAGGTGAATTTGGCGATTTCATCTGCCGGATAAAATCCATAGTATCAATAAGTTATGTGGGCTCAATTTCCGATGCGGCATCTGATAAATAGGAATTGTCGGTTTCGTCGTCCTCTTCCGGCAAAGTCGTTGTATCTGATACCGATCCAGCTCCAACACCTTCACGTAGCTCACGCTGAACCAGTTCCTTCCAAGCATGCAATGCTGTGCAGAAAGCAGGACTCGACAGACCTGAGAGACGCTCCATCACGGGCTCGAACACTGCTTTTGCATAGCAGTACTTCTCCTCGGTTGACATAACAACAGCATTTGCTCGCTCGCGGCGACGCAACTTCACGTAGATGATTCGGCGTTTCCATTTAACGCGCAGTCTTGTCGTTTTGGTATCTCCTAGCTCTCCTTTCACTTGTGTTGCTTCGTGTGTTGCTTCGTGTGTTGCTTCGTGTGTTGCTTCGTGTGTTGCTTCGTGTGTTGCCACTCGGTTGTGTAGCGTCCTGTGTTGCACTACTCGGTTGTGTTGCTGATAATGTTGATGCAGAATCCTGCGGCTGGACCGCGTCGAAGGCATCGCTGGCTACTTTCATCGAAGTTTGAACGTCCTGGAGGGAATAGATACCCGCTTGAAACGCCTTTTCCATTGCCGCCAATTCCAGCATGTCCCAGCGTGGAGCAATCGTCAATGCCGGGAGATACTCGAACCGGTGAACGCGGTCAGCAATGTACATCAAGTGTTGACACGGGAGGTTATTACTTCGATAGAATAGGCATGTACACGTCCACTGATAGTCATTGCAGCGATATGTGCGCCCCTGCGTAGACAACATCCACTCTCCCACTTCCACGTTATCTTTCTTGCACGTAGCTTCCGCCAGATATACCATGAAGTGCTCCCACTGATTGCGCACTTTTGTAAACGAAGCATCGCTCAGGTGCTTTGCCACAACTACAAGGAAGTCTAGGACAGAGTCAGGTTGCCGCGAGGTCACGGAGTGCTTGCGAATTGAAGCAAGTAGCTGTCGAATAACTGTCGTTTGGTGAGCTAGAAGCCCTCCAATTGTCGCATCAATACGGGGCCTTTTACCGAGGAGCAGCTTCACCTGATTCCAGTTGGACTTAATTCGATTGGTGGTGGTATTGCCTGCAGAAAAGTACGCCCCACGGAGATAATTTGCCCACATCGAATCGCACGTTTTCCAATTTCGCAAAAAAATAAGCAAGTAGCTTAGGGCACTTCTCCTCGCACGTTCTTGTGAATGCTGCCAACTCTGATTTGAACGCTATCTGCGTGTTGCTACATTTCGCACAACATATTTAGCAACACAACAAAGCAACATATTAGGCAACATTTCATAATCAACACATGAAGCAACACACAGAATCGTACCAGTAGATTAGCTTTGCAAACGCGTCCTCCATCCTGTCGCGCTGTGACATTGTCAGGTCAAACTTGGGACGACGAAGCACTTTTCTCCAGTACGTGAGCGCGTGGAATTGGCACAGAATAACCTTGGTGCCGGGAAATGCTCTTTCTAGGACCCGCCACTTCACGAAATCTTTGTCGATAGCGATAGTCTGGATTAAATTCCAGGACGGGTTCTTCATTTTGAAGAATTCAACGATACGGTCCATTGTTTGTGCTTTTTGGTCTAGCGCAAGAAAGTCGATTACAGGTATGCCCCGTCCTGTTGCCGACGTGATCACAAGACTTCCTAAAAAAGCAAACAAGTTAGTATGTGTATGATCTGACAATTAAATACGATGCAACTTACCCAAATGATATCCGAGGTTATTAGTCCCGTGCGTCCAGTCCATCACCAGTGTGTCACCCCACTGACGAAAACACTCCTTCTGAATGGAGGTTTGCAATGCAATGACACAGGTTATATCCATTTGGTCTTGCACCAGGAGAACATCATTTCCTTTTTCCGCTACAAAAGCACCCAAAAGAGACTTGGTTCGTTCCAACGCTGATGATCCCCAATGAGGGAGGTGGATTTGGCGCGGGGGACCCTCCACGCGCCGACCCTAAGGCGGATCCGCCATGGGTGGATCCCACATAGTCGTTGGTCACCACCTCCTCCTGGGTCAGACGCAACTCGTCACGGAGACGGTCCAAGCTCACATCCGCAGCTGCCCTAGCAGTCTGGGAATCTTCCAGATCCCGCTCGAGGTCCCCAATAGCACCCGTAGCATATTACGTGTTTGCTGAGGTGTAATAATAATATCTGCACGTAAACAAAATGTTGTTAAGCTTGATTAAAACTTTGAATGTACAGCGATTCTTAAGGTTTACTGCGGTCACCCTCCATCACGAAAAGCACCCACCTAGCTTGTCCGCCAGATACCGGTTGACAGCAGCAGTACTGGGCTTCACCTCGTTGAGTAGACCGAGTTCTTGTCGAACTTTGCACGACAAAAGTGACTTCGCACTACGATACGAATCGTAGATGACCTTCGTAGTGGGGTGGTTGTGCATCGATATCTAATTCATTAAACAGTTAGAACTACAAATATGCGTAAAAACAGCATCTTACGCACCTCTGTGTTTTCATCAATACACACTTTCCACGAGGGTTAACCGGCCTCAACTGAGTAGACGGAACGCACAACGAAGCTAGCTTCACATCCTGTAAAGCGGCAGTCGTGTTCATGGCGCCCACGCCCTCGGGGGGCCTGAGTTGCAGCATGCGTACACCAAACTCGTTTGAAGCTGTGGGTCAAATAATCAGGTATCTTCTTAGCACCAGGAAGCCTAAGCAACACTCAAAGCAACATAGCAGCAAACGACATAGTGAGACAGCAACATAAACGTCAATATCGGTATCGTGCCTTCACCTGTTGTGCTTCTCTCTTGTCTCAGAGCTCCGAGTTCGATAGCAAAGGAAGTGCTCGACTTCGTAATCTTTGAGCACTTTCTGATACTCCTCCCACGTGCTGAAGACTTTTTGCGGTAGCCCTGGCTTGTCGTTGATGACTGGGTTTAGCGCTTTCACAATCTTCTTGCGGTTATCCGCGTTTTTGGTTTGGCGACGCCAGAGATGATGTGGTCGACTAGCCGACCCTTCAGTGGATACTCGTACCCGCTTTGTTGGAGGCTCAGGATCTGGGTCATCTGCAGTCGATAATCCTAAATTAGAAAGTGTAAATAACATTGTAGACGACTCGTACCTGAATCTGATATTTTGTTTTCCGTATCGTTGGAGTCCGCTAGGGTGGCTGCGGCGGCGTTATACTTAACGTTGCCCTCAACGTTGCTCTCCATGTTGCCTTTAGTGTTGCCCTCAATGTTGCTCTCCATGTCGCCCTAAGTGTTGGCATCCATGTTGGCATCCATGCGGCTCTCAGCGATAGCGGCCGGCGAGTCAGCTGCCACCTTAGCAGTAGCGTTCTGGGAGTGTTTCACCTCTTTTTCATGTGTGGTAGCCTCAGCCGTAGTATCCTGTGTGGCGGGAACATCGTCGTCCTGCGTGGCGTCCTGCGTGGCGGGGACATCCTCTTCCTGCGTGGCGTTCTTCGGGGCGTCCTGCGTGGCGGAGACATCCTCTTCCTGCGTGGCATCCTGCGTGGCGCTCTTCGTAGCGTTCCTCGGGGCGGGGGCATCCTTCGTGTGGCCGCGTGTCAGACCAGCGTAATCACGCGGGCGCAAGGTGGAGCGACGTCCTGCACACATCAAATCAGTTTATATCCATCACAGCGTACCTTATAAGCGTCATACCTGTGTTTGCGACCAACGGGACGTGCGCCACACCCTCTTGTTTCGCAGCCCCCGTACTGGGCGCTCGCATCTTCTCGTCCTTCTTCGCCATATCACTGTAGGTTTCTCCCGTTCCTGGAAATGTCGTACTTTGTCAACCACAAGATTTTGCAAATTTTTAGTCTAACTGTTTGGTTTCAAATTCACGGGAAGATAAACTCGATAAATTACCGAACAGCACAGCAAGCTGCTGCGCTGCTCTAAACCACCTATCGTGTAATTGTGGTAAAGTTGTAGTAACGACTCCGGACCAGCAGTTAAGAACAATACCTGCCACGTAGAATCGGTTGAGTATTATACTCGGGAGTAGGCTACTCATACGGTAGGCTTGGATGGTCTGCAAGGCAGTCTCAATGAACTCACGGAAGATCAAAATTACGTGAAAGTATTGCCCATTGACACCCAGAATTCCGTATCGGTTTGTGATATGTGCGGTGAGCTTTGATATCCCTTTGGGTATCCCCGAATTGACACGACCGGTACTTCTTGACTGTACTTGAATAACTTGCATCTGCTCTTTCTCCTTGTACTTGGACAGAATACTTGGATCTCCCCATGGTGTAAACGCAAGTTTCCGTAGCCATACTGAACTAGCGATCATTAATACGATGCACAAGCCATGAACTGAAGCCATGATCAGGTGAACAGTTGCAATGATGTCGTAGTTATCTGGTGACATCCCGACATGATAAAAATCGAGGTATGGCCAGATCTGCGTCTCAGTCACCCACCAATAAAAGAGCGCGTACGCTATATTATAGCCACAGATAACAAGATGAACTCCGAGAAACATGAACCACCAGAGCGTAAGCGACCACCATGGCACCAGCACTACTTCATGGGGAGAAATCCACGGGGCCAGCGCATATACAGCCATGGGGCGCTACCTCCCGCTTAGGAGGTTGTTTGTGGTGCCTCAGTTAAAATTAGAAACCGTGCTCGTTTTCACTCATCTTAATCGGTTGGCACAGTAAAAAAAACTTGTGCTTCCGATAACCTACCAAAATATTTTCATTCCCGTGGGCTTGGAGATTTAGATTGACTTTATCGTGTAGCTAACTGCGAAAGTCATTTATGCGTAAGCTTAGTCCGCTTGGATAAAAACCTGTAATATAAAAAATTTCTCATTTCTTACTAATCTTTTAGAAACGTTTTAGTCGGTTGTTGCTTCGCCACTTCTGCGAGTAGTCCACGTACCTCTTCCAGCCAGGGTGATAGATGGCCATTTCGTGAAGTCCATCTAAGCCTAAGAGCGTAAAGACTCGACCGGGATGTAGCTTGACTTGCCTGAATTTGGGGTGTAGCTGCAATAGCTTGTACCTCACCCAAGACTCGAAGGTTTTGATCAGGCGCTCTTCATTCTTTTCGCTGTCCCCAACCTTGTCGTCTTTCATGTGGCGGATCCTTAGGTGCCGCGTGCTAAAGTCTTTGCTCGGTTTTCCTACATAAACAGGGACCGAAAGGCTAGGGGTCGTCTGCGTCATGCCGGTAGTAGATGTCGTCAACGCGGAGGCTGGACTGTGTACCAGTATAGCAGTTGCTGCTATCAGCGCCAGGAAGAGTCTCCACATTGGTAGCGGTTGTTGCTGGTGGTCGATACTTGCGAAGTAAGCAGGCAAAAGCGATGGGGGCTCCTATGTAAGGTACTGTAGAGGGAACCGTCAACATAAAGTGGTAAGCAGATTTAGCGTTTACGCTCAATGCTGAGTCAGTTAATCCGTAATTATGGTTAATTAACCGAAAATTTGCCTCGGGCAACTGACCCCGCATCCAGTTCAGCAGATTTTATATTAAAAAAAGGTTGTCTTCCTACAGTATCAAGTTCCTTGGTACATATATAGCGAGATGGTTGCTTGTCAGCAAGAAACATATGCCCATGCATCATGTTCTTTTAAAATAACCTTCCCGTAAATTTCGCTTAATTTATCGCTATTTTGCTTGTCCGAATGGTTATCCGCCTCGATTACCGGCTTATGAGCTTTCAAACTATCCCAGTATAAAAGAAAACTTGTAAGCGGGTGACTCGCTTAATGAGTAATCATATTTACGGTGGCTGTACCGGAAGACTCACGTAGAAGCACAATAACCAAAAACTACGTCAAGAAACGTCGTCATCAAAACTCACAATCAAGCTAAAGGCAAAACAAAAAATCGGCGACCTTTGTACAAGTTCGTACTTTCGAAGTATTCATTAAGTAATACCACTAGTGAAGTTGGCTCTTGGATCTTAGACTTTAAGTAACTTGACGAAGTGCAGATGAATCGCAAATCCACCCAGTAGATTCTAAAGTTTGTTGCAGATTAACCGGACGACACCAGTCACTGAAATGCCAGTCCCAGATCGGCAACGCTAACTTCCATCCGTCTACTTGTTGTGGATACTTAGAAAGTAGTCATTGCGTCAATTCCAAGTACGGGTGTTCCAGCAGGATTGCCTGAGAATCAAAGTCTTCAGATCTGTGTTCATTTAGAAACAACACCATCTCAAAATTGCCGTTTCTAATAGTTTGTGTCATTGCGTCGCCTTCGCTATGATTGCGATGAAGCCACTTTACGATAGAAACGTGTCCAGTTCTTGAAGCAGCATCCATAGCACGAGTGGTGCATCCTTCAGTTCGATTAGTGTGTAGCCATTTCACAGTGTCTAAATGGCCACTTTCTGCTGCCCCGTTCATTGCTTGTACAGTACAACCTTCCGTTCATTTGTGCTGTAGCCATTTTACTATCTCCAAATGTCCAAAACGAGCATCTCCATCCATCGCCGCAGCAGAACCCTTACATTGGTGTTCGTGTAGCCATTTGACAGCTTCCAAGTGGCCCATCTCAGCTTCACAAAAGATGATAACTTATCGATAGTGTAGTTCTCATTTATCCACTTCACAACGTCCACGCAGCCGCTTCTAGTGGCTCGATTCATTGTCGAAACATCGCATTTATCACTGCAGCTGTCACGTAGCCATTCGAGAATTTCAGATGTCCACCAGTGGCCGCAGCGTTCATAATTCCTATTTCCCAGCCTGGACAGCTCTTCTCTTTGAACCACCTGACCAGCGGTAAATGTCCTTTTCTCGCTGCGTTTCTCGCAGCCTCACTATTCAGCGGCAAGCCTACTTCAACATGTAGCCATTCTAGAACATCCAAATGCCATATTTTGACACCCAATTTCAAGAGAATAAGCAAATTTTAAGAAGTCCAGATCTCCACATCGAGCAGCACCTTTCCAATCGATCGTCGGGTCGTCCATCTCGCAATTTTCGAATATCCACCGAGCTGCGTCATACTCCGCTTCCAGATGAGCACTACAAAGTGCAACTTCTGCATCGACGCCGAACTCTACAGACAACCATGAGATGATAGCTACATTTCCTGTTTTTTCCTGCTGCTTGCATGATTTCACGTCGAGGTGGGCCATTCCTCTTTAGCCACTCGATAGTTGTATAACTGTGGTTAGTCAATGCTCTACACATCTCAATTCCTTCCCAACACGCTCGATCATAGCAATTGTCAAATAGCCATTGCAAAATTTCAAAGTGTCCTCCGGCTGCAGCTCCGTTCACTGATTTAGTCAATAATTCGTGGGGTAGAAACTCTCCACCAGCCTTTTGACAGCGTCAAGATCACCTCGCCCAGCTGCGAGCCACGTGGTTCGATTAAATAAGCAGCGACGGTAGAATGGGTCCATTGAACGACTTGGTTCCTTGCTGGAAACGCACTGCATCAAGTGCAGACTACGAGATTTCGAAAAGGTCTCGACGAAGCTCTACGACGGAGAAAAAAAGGCGAGAAACTCATCAATGCATTGCTTCACGTGTGGCAACATACGACAATGAGTTGGCAGACATTATTTGCCTAAGATCTGGGCACCATCGATTCATATTTCACTGTTATCTTTGGAATTAAAGGGACAATCAGAAATTTTAACTTTAGATTTAATTTTTAATATTCTGGCAGATTTTCAGAAGTTCATCTATTAAATACGTGAAAATGCTGCGAGCGAAGGTGCTGCCGGAGGTTCTGGGTCAGATCGTGGGCGACGGCATCACCGCCTGCATGTATGTATCATATATCCATAACCGCCTTTGTCTTGCAATCGTAACACTGCAAGTTGCAGCTCTTAGCTCTCTCTGCGTCAATAATTATATGCTCTTAAACGCATCTATTCCCCACAACTCAATGGCTCCGTGTTCTCTATGTTTACTCCAGGCTGGTGACGCTGGAGGGTGCGCTCGTGGGCTCCGTGGGTGACGGAGAGGCTGTGGATCATAAGGTGGTGGGAGCCATCGCCTCCCATACCTGGGGCGAGTATCTACATGCTGGCAAAGAGGCCAATCCTGCTGGAGATCTGCGCACCATGCTCGTCGAGCTCGAGGCAAGTGTTATACGCAACACTCTACCGGTTCTTACCGTCGCTATAACGCCACAAGTGACTGACAACTACTATGCTCGTACTTGAACCAGCGTGGACGTCTGGCGATGACAGTGGCGGGCAAGAGCTTCCTGCTATGTGCATACTCAAGCACCGAAACACCGGCTGGACTGCTCAAGGCTAAGGTAACTTATGCCGCTATGTGCCGTTAATGAGGCTAGACTAAATGTAGTATTATGTAATAAGGTGGAGACGCTGGGAGCATATTTGACAGCGTCGCTGGACCAGATTGAAATGTAGTCCGAGAACGTCAGATCAATAACTCTACCTCTTATTGTCTTGCATTTATCTTTTCTAAAACGGTGTAACCAGACAACAAAACTACTTGTTGCGTTCTACAGACGAAAGTCGTCCAGTGTCTTGCCTCCAAGTTGTTCAAGACGCTTCTCAAGCCACAGTTGAGTCGCAGGGGTCAGACCTCCGTCCATAGTCTCCAAGATCTGCAGCAGTCGACGGAACTCGGGGTAGTTGCTAGCGTCTAAAAGCTGTGCCAGTACAGGCACGACGGTCTTTCCAACAGGTTCCACGCCGTACAAATTGTACCAGTCCTGCAAGAAGCCGATGAGGTCTTCGATCATCACAGGAGCATCCGAACCAAGCAGCAAACTCCGCGCAGCCGCTGCACTCTCCGCACTACGTTTCTCATCGTCGCCATCCAGTTTCAAAGCGTCACGCAGTCCAAGCTCCTGCTCGATAGCTTCCCGGTCCGACACATTCAGCATAGCCGACAACTCGTAGTCCAGCGCTTCCTCACGTGACGTCGACTCGTCTTCCTCGCTCTTTTCCGCTTCTTCTTCACCATCTTCCTCCGTATTAACCATAGTAAACGTCTCTCCATTCGGCAAAGCATGACGTTGGTACAGGAGTCCAAGCGCAATACGATGGATCGCTTCTTGCGACGGCTTCATGCCTGCATTGTGCATTTCTTGCAGCAAAGAGTGGGCGCCACGTACGTCCAGACTCGTGACACGTTGGAAGATGAGCTGGTCGTACTCACGCGGAGCCAGTTGTGTCGTGCCTAGCAGCCGCTGCTGCTGACGTACAAGAGCGTCCGTCTCTTCTTCGCGCCAGAACCGGACAGCAGCACACACGGCGTGCTCGAAGAACTTGGTCAGCTTCTCTCTCGTCTCGGGGTCTTGCATGTCCAGGCCACCGGATTGTACCGTTCCAGACACCGCGTTGGCCTGTGTGAAGACACGTTGCATCATGTGCAGACTCGCGTGCTTCTGTCGTTGCGTGAGACGCCTATCCAGGCGTCGAGCTGCCTTCATGTACTGCTCCATGAGTTTTACACTCACATCCAAGTCGTTTTCCACGTCAAAGCCCGCGTCCAGCAGCTTATCCAGCACGTACTCCACTGTCTTGTCCCCACGCTTCAAGTATTCTTTAATCAGCAGCTGGTTGGCCTTAAGAACACGCGCGTTATCCAGACGACGCTCGACTGTCGTGGCTCTTCTGGACTCCTGTCCAATGATCTGGTTCGCGTGGTTCTGTTGACTTAGCAGCTCACGCAGCTCATTTTCATCCAATGCCGCATCTTCCGCGTCTTTTTTGCTATTGATCTCGTCGATAGTCTTCTGCGCTTTAGTCAACGTACGCATGATACGGTCGTACATTAGACGCATCTCCACCACACGCGGAGATGTCGCTACGTCTCGACTCTCGGCACGAGCCAAGGTGGACTCACGTGAGAGCATCAGAACGTCCATAAGCGACCATGGGAAGATCTCCAGAGCCGCTAAAAAAGGCTGCTTGGAGAGCACAGGCTTCTCTTCCGTACTTAACGGAGCATACTCGATATATTCGTCCAGGATCCTCTTCACAGGGGCGATGAGACCACAAGCTGCCGCAGCCTTGGTACGCATTGTGTATACCTCATCGTATTGCGTGGATGTAGCGTAGTTGAACTTGGGGAAGGCACTGGAGAGCTGTTTGTCCACGAACATGAACACCTTGCGTAGTTGGTCCACGTCTCTCTTGTATACACTCGCGGACAGTGAATTGAAGCGTTCCGTGCTTGAGTATACGATGGCTTTCATCGCGTTAACCCACAGAGTGCGTACGTGGTCGCTGGAGGCAGCAGAAGCTGCAGACGTGAGCTCTTCCACTATTTTCGAGTCCAGTAGTTGGCTCAATGTAGCAGGGATCTCGTTCCAACGTGCACCTAGTAGTAGCGCCTCGTAAGTCTCCACATCCACTACAATGTCGCGTGTCACCATGAGCTGCAGCATACGGGAAAACTTGACGCCGTTGTCGGCGTATACTCGAAGAGCCTCGTTGTAAGGCACTGTAGATCTCGTAAGCTTCAGTTCCTTGGCATTCGAAGCACCGAGTGAGCGTTCGTACTCGTCCAATTGCGCTTCGATGCCGCCAATAAGACGTTCGTGGAAGAGCGCGAACTCCTTGTCCGTCTTGAGCTGGAGGGGGCGTTCCTCGCGCTCCACGACGCTCATGATCTCGCGCTGCCACATGTCTTCGCTCACGTCCTTTAGTATCTCACGTAGATCTTGTAGCGATGTGTGCTTGGAGCTGCTAATGAGCTCCAGCGCCACATTGCGGATGAGATATTGACGTATGCGCTCTGTGGGACGGACGCCGAGTTGCTGCATCTGCTGCGTGAGCTGCGCGGCCAGCTCAAACTGGCGCTGCTTGGAGGCAATAGCTACGCCGCTCTCATACGCGCGCGCCGCCTCTTCGTTCAGTTGTGATGACGCATACTGACGCTGTAGTGTCTGCATGTCATGCAGCCACAGCGGCAGCGCCTCGTCCGGAGACACGTATGCCTCGTTATCGTCGTATAGAGCATTGCATCGCGCCTTCAGTATTTTCACAATGCTCTCGCGCTGTTCGTCAGTCAATTGCGGGGTTGGGTGCTCGACGACGGAGGTGAAGGACCGTGTGGCAAGATGGAGAGGAACACTGCGACGCGAGTTTTGCAATGAAGACGACTGTGTTGACCGCAAAAGAACAGCACGAGCTGTTGCAGATGAAGATGAACGTGTTGCACGCCACCGCGGTAGCACAGTGGCCGCTGAAGCGCGACGCAGACGCAGCGCGCGATGCATATCCCTTCCCAGCCAGACGATGGGGGAGCTAGTGTACTCCCAAAAGTATACCCTGGTTACTCTTTGCAAGTGACTTGATCTTTGTAAGCTTCGATTTGAATTTCAGCTGCTGTTTGAGCCTGAAAAAGATGATTCTTGCACCTCTTTAACTAAATACTGATCTCCTTTTTTTAATTTTCTATCTAGACCTCTATCTGTCTAAATTGCTTCTTTCCTTTTTATAATTACGTGCTCCCATTATCGTGTCTACTTGTGAACGAACCGAAATTACTCAAGGCAACCAAGCTAATGGCACTCACTCGGTCGCGGGCGTCGACGACGCCGTTAGCGCATCCTGCACCTCCAGCGCCCCCTATGAGCTCCGTGTCCATCCCCATCCGCTTCCAGTGCCCTCTGTGTCTGGACGTGCTGCGTCGTCCCATTCAATTGCCCTGTTGCCAACGTTACCTCTGGTAAGGGCAACCGTCTCCCTGATTGGAATGTCATCTCTCTCTAACTTATTATATCTTCGCAGTATGGAGTGCTTCGAGCGTGGCTTGGAGCTCACAAGCGTCAACTGCGGCTTCTGTCGCCGTCGCGTCGTCGGGTTCGCGCGTACCAAGCAATACAAGGTGGACGAAGCTATGTGGACAGCCATTAAGACTCAGTGTCCGTTTTTAGGCGACATCGCAGACGACAGAGAGCCGCTGGTCGAGTTCTTCGATGAGAACGCTCCTCCATTGCATAATAGCGGCGAGGATCGTCCTACTACTGCAAGCGACGAAAGCTCCGGAGAGTTCAAAGCCTTCTACGAACAACAACTTCGCCAGCATCAATCCCAGGTCCACGAGGCGGAGCAACGCGCACTGGAGCAAACGATCGAGTTCCTGGAGAACGATATGGAGTTTTCTGCATCCCTGGCTGCGTCTCCAGCGTCCTCCACGTCCTCGTCGTCATCGGATCCTTCACTTCCCAGAGCTAAGAAGATGAAGGTAACAACTCCATCGATGACGACCAGAAGTTCAAGTCACCGACCTGTCACACGCTCATTGAGCTCAGTGGACGACAAACAGCCCAAACTGGACAACTTTTTCGGGTCCTCAAGGGCTTCTTCGAGTCATTCAGGACACAACTTACGTCATGCGCATTCTACGAACGCCGGGCTCTCGTCTCCCCGTGCTACGACGCACTTGAATGTCGATGAGCCACACAGAAAGTATTTCCTGCGCAGCGCATCGCACAGCCCGACTCCGACTAAGCAGAGACGACAAGTAGGTAAAGGACGCAAGCCACTTCTTCAGCTCACGCTGGGCACGACGATCTCTCCGATTGCATCACACACCCGTAGTCGAGACCTCATGCGTGCAAGCTCAGCTGACTCCGAGGAGTCTACCAAGATGCTGACACGTCAAGGACGACGGAGGAGCTCCTGGAAGTGTGTCCAGTGTACCTACACGAACACGTGCTTCGACAGTCGATGCAGTATGTGCCGTAGTCTACCTCCTACTGAAGCGCACATTTCCCTCAGCTCACACTAATTTAACAAAAAGATGGTGTTGTTATTCCTGCAATGATACCAGTAACTTTTACTGCATCTTCGTCTTTACTCGTTGCGGCTTTCTTGAAGTACAGCACCACAATACAAGGCGGGCATTGAATAAGGCAAGCAACAGTAATACGAAGCCAGCAACTTTAGGCGTAGACATGTCGATAATAGATGCGTTGGAAGGCTTCGTCGTAGGGTTCCGTTACCGTTTGATCCCATTTGAAGTTGCCATCGCTGGAGAACTCGAGGATTCTATCGTATCGTAATTATTAGTACAGCGTATCATATTCATGTGAGTGAGCTTACCCATAATTCCTTCCCAAAAACACGCGATCGTACTCGATATGCCATGGTGAGCTGCGTGGTAGAAGTGACGACAGCAAGGGGATATACCGCGCCCAGGAGCTTACTATCTCGAATACTGGCGTAAGCTGTGTGATCAAATAGTAGTACGGGATCAATTTAGCGTCTTGAATCGACGTCGAGCCGTTCGTGACTCCACTTGTGATCAGCTGATCCAAGCAGGTAGAGTTAGTTCCCTCTGTCCCGCACACTCGTGAGTGAGCCAACATGTGCAGGTCGCCACCAACTAGAAGGCGTATCAGAGGTGACGCCGTCGGTTGGTTATATGTCTGGAATATCTGATAAAGGCCCTCTAACCCAGATCGCTGCGCTGCCATGCCTGGGTACGTCTCGTGCTCAACGATGTGAGCTATCGCCGCCGAGAACGCTGACTGGAAGAAAAGTGGCATGCTGGAAAACACAACTGCGGTGTTGTCGTTATCACTCCAGGATTGCAGTTTTCCATCTAGAAATCGTCTCTGTTCATCGCTAACTAGCTTTGGTTGATCGTCCTCCAGGTCGAAGAAGCTGCGCTCAAAGCGCACGTCAAGGAACAGCAGTTTAAGTTGCTGCAGCTCCACCGCAAAGTATACTGGATACGTACGAATAATGTCACCCAGTGCACCTTCAAGAAAGTCTACAGTGTCCCAAGGAATGTCGCGGTACAGTTGGTATTGGAATTCATAATACGCTTGCAGTCCAGCTCGACAATGCAACTGGAGCGCCACAAGCCGCTCACGTTCACTTTCACGAAACGTTGGGTTCTTCAGGTCTTGAAAAGCTTTCCGAATGAGCTCTACGTTGAAGTTATTGATGATCTCGTGGTCGTCAGGAAGCATCCAATGCGCTCCGACACGCAGCATACGCTGCGCTGCTTTCCTCCCGAACGTTTTCCTGTATATAAATCGGAACTCCTCTAGGAGTGCGTCATATCTCGCACCACGTTTCTTCCTATCTGCCATGTCCTTCAGTGAGAATGGTGCTATCTCAATACTGAGCTCTCCAGCATCTGCATATATCTGATCGCCAATGTGAGCCGTTCCAAAGTGCACCGACGACGATCCTAAGGCGTCATCGTGCGCTTCAATGTCACTCGCGATACGTTCCATTAACACGTCGTCGTGGTCGTCCACAAAGCGATCGCAGGAGACAACGACCATTCGGTCCGTCCAAATGTTTCCGTCGCTCTGTGCTCGTGCTGTGTGGAACATGATCGTCGCAACCTGTTTCGGCTCGTCCACTGATAATTGCACCACGTATCTGCGTCCCGGCTCCAGATCTTGCAGCACAACCACGCGTGGGCGTGTTTCGGTCTCTATTGAAAGTAAATCAAGCGTCTTAATCGCTGCAGATCCAGCTAGATCGCTCTGTGTCGTCGCCATGGTATCGTAGACATGGACGCTGAGTTTCGTGGCTGACAAAGGCACTTGGTCGTACAGGATACGCGCTGACGAGGACGTCACGTCCCCTACGATCAACAGAAGTGAATCATTGATGTCTCTAGTGATGGATTGAGCGGCTATGGCCGCTATAGCTGCGTGGAGCCAAGCGCACAGCAGCAACACCGCGCTCCGCGTCATTTTGATGCAGTCAATGTCAGTGACTCGTATACCGAGTGTATACCTGTATAGCTGAAAGGTCTTCTATTCGAGTCAAGCATGGAACACTGAATCAAGGTCCTTTATTAGTGTCCGACACACGAAATTGATGGGAAGGCTCAACCTGACACATGACATGACGACAACACTACGCCGCTTATGCTGCTGCTGACTGGGAGTCTGCCTGCTCGCTAAGCTTCGCTTTTTACACAATATAATCGCGTCTCATAGATATATCTGCCTCCACGTGGATAATGGGGCCTGTTCACTCACTGGGTTGCAGTCAAATCACCTGTAGTTGCCGCTGTTGCTGCTCTTGCCGTAGCTGTATCGCGTTGATGATGAGCGCCCTGCGCTTCGAGAGCGATCCTGAGGCAGTGAACTCGAATGATAGAAGCCTCTTCGACTCCCTGAGCTGCTGCTCGGTCCGTTGTTGTAGAAGCTTGAGGGGCGGTGACCGCTCTGAAATTGCGGCTTCATGTCCATCATGCTCTGACTATGACGCCACGACGGCCGGTTGGATGGATACTTGGCGAAAGACTGTTGGTTCGCCGCTGCGGCAGCGGCACTGACAGGTGGGTCGGCGACAGGGCTGCCTCCTTTGCGCGGATCGCCCACATCCCAGTTCGATCTGCGCTTCCTCCTCCGCTCAGCTCGCCGCTTGGCTTCCTCAGACATGGGCAGCTGTTCCGTGATCTCCAAGCTGCGTTTTCTCCCTCTGTCTTGATAGCGCTCTGATGTATCCCTCCGACAACTATCCTCTCCTTTGCCCACACTGCTACTACTACTGCTCTTCCTCTCCAATCTGGGGGCTGAGTCCCTTCTCGAAAGCTCCTTTTTCTCAGTCACGGGTTTGTCCTGTTCAGAGGCCGCGGGGGGGAACTTGGCTGCCGCCGCCGCAGCGGCTGCTGTGTTGTTGTTTGGAGTATCGCTGTCCTTGACCTTGGCCGACGGACTAATCGACGCTGTAGTGGTGGGGCTGTTCCGCTCCAGCGGAGGGGACAAGTGCGACGACTCATTGTTCAACGGCGTCTTCACACGTAGCTCCAGAGCGAGACGGTCGCACTCGCTGCTTTCGGCGTGATTAGCGCCTTGGGAGTCGTAAAATTTACAGGCTCTGTAATCTGTTGCTGTGTGCTCATTTCCTGCGATTTGTTCTCTGTCACACTGGTAGAAGCCGGAGCGGGAGGTTCTTCCTCCTTCTTTTGCTTCGGGGACGGCGCTGCTGTCGGCTCAGCCTCCAACTTTTCTGGGATCTCCGGTACCTTCACCATCGGTTCATCAATAACGAGCGGCGCAGGAGGCGCAGCAGGAGTCACTTTGACCTCTGACACGGGCGACGTGGCGACCGCAGACGTCTCATTCTCGACTTCGGCATCCGGTTCATCAGACGAGCTACTGGCGTCTTTTTCCTTAAGTGTATCCAACTGGGCGTTCCAAAGCTGGATCCAGCGCTTCTTGGGCGTCAGTTTACGCTCAAACGGAGTCCTGGCTCCCCCTCCGACGGCCGTCACCGTAAGCTTCTTGCCAGGCTTGGTCTTAAAGCCGACGATCTTTCCTTTCTTACTCTTCCTGCCGCGACCGCCCTGTCTGAGCAAGTCATTCGCGTCCTGTGTCCGGTTCGAGTCGTCCCCTGATGCGCGCGCCTCCTGTTCCATGCGCTCGATACTAGCGATGATCTGCGCCATCTTGCGCTCCTCGCGGCTCATTCTGCTCCTGTGTTTCGTGTGATATGTGTCTGTATGGCCTGTTGTCTCTCTGTCCCTCTGTCGACCCGCTGCGTCGGTCAGTCCTCTTCCTGCCTGCTCCGGCGTCTCTGTATGCGCGCCTTCTTCCGACTGGGAGGGCCCCAGCAGGTGCCAAAGCCCAAGAGCGGCACACTCTCCCTGCATAGGGAGATAAAACCTCAAAGGCGAGACAATAAAACCTCGGGATCTTACAAATTCCAAGTGAAAAAATACGAGTCGAGACAAGACCTAACCGCGAAGTGGGATCTTTTCGCGTGCGCCACATCAATCAACAAACAGACGAAAGCAACCCACGACCATCACTCTCCCAACTTCAACAGCATGTTTTTATTGCACGGATGAGCACTCAATTTTCAATTCGTAATGAGCTTACAGAGTCACACGTCCACCTGGCCGTCCTGTATCATTTGACGCATCAGTGGACTCTCCATTCGACGCCAACAAACCAACCGGGTCGACCAAGGACCGTTTCGCTGCCACCAGGTCATCTGCTGGGATTCGATTTCAGATTTTCGCTGTTATCGTCGAAGTGCGCTCGTGACAAGCTCCACGTGATATAGTACGTCGCTGGCAATATTTGCAGAAACTGCTGACCATCACTCTTGCAACTTCAACGACAGCAACTTCTTCCCTATTCTTAAGTTGACCATTTCTAAAGCTGCCTCAGAGCAGCAATGGCGGATGCATTTAGCTTGGAGCGAGGGGTGACACCGCAGTCGGCGGGGGTGGACGGTGGATGGTTTATGGATGGGGAGACAACTGCAGCAGATGCGGGTCCGGCTGTTGTAGCTGAGATGGAAGCCGTGCTGGCTCAAACGCCAGAGGCTATTTCACTCTACAAGTCAGAGCTAGAAAAGCTGTTATTGGCCTTCGTCAAGTCACAGGAGAGTGAGCAGCGACTGGTGCACCGCACCAAGGAGATCGTAGCGGAGATCCGCTCAAGTCATGACGCCATGGTACGAGACCAGGAGGAGGAGAGTGAGGCGCTAGCACAGAAAAAGAAGACTAAGATAGAGCTAGATGCCATAGTGCAACAGATCGCTTCGACGAGGCAAACGGAACTGGAGAAGCAACTGAAGGTCAATGGCCTTCGAAGCAAACTAGAGTCCCTGCAAGAAGAAGTTGCCAGGATGGCCATGCCATCCGGGAACGGTGGTGACATCATGCTGAACGAAGAGCAGGAGCTTCAGATCTCCAGCCTCAAGAACAAGCGTGCAGAGAGCGCACGTGATGTTGAGGCAAAGACAATATCACTGCAAGATCTACGGCAAGAGACTACTAATTTGTTTTCCCTAGTGCAAGAGGAAGAGGCCAAGAACGCGAGACTCGAAGAGACTCAAGCAAACGTCGTGTTGCAGATTCAGGAGAAGCAGAGCCTCACGGAGCGGGAAGTACGGCGCAAAACGCGACTGGAAAAGGAACTCAAGATACTCAAACAAACACACGAACGACAGCAAGTCGAAATTTCTGCGCTGGAGACACTCAAGAAGGAGAATGAGGAGAATCTACGCAAGAAGGAGCTGACGATGCGCGAGTCCAAACAGAAGATGGAGAAATACTTGAAGCAGTACGACGGGCTATTCCGAACGACACACTCCTTGACAGAAGCGATGCAGTTGCAGTGGCAGGAGAACGTCGAATTGCATAAGGAGAATGTGCAAGTCGAGCACGAGCTGACCGTCAAGGAGCAGCAAATCCAGACGATCACACGAGATGCGGTGAAAACTGACAAGCTCATGGAAATTGCCAGAGAGCAGCTACAAGATATCGAAGGCAAACGCTCTGATTGCGAAATAGAAAAGGAGAAATACAAACTAGAGCTCGAGAGCCTTATCAATCTCACACTGGAAGCAGAGAAAAAGCAGAGTGAGTTGCTGACGAAGAAGCTAGACGAAATGCTCCGAGAGCGCGAGGTGCTCAACAAGATGCTAGTGAAGGTAAACGACCGAACGCAAGCTACGTTTGACTTGATGAAGATCAAGGAGAACACAATGAAAAACCTGCAGAACGAGATTAATGGACTCAAGTCTCATGTAAAGAAGCAACGTGCTCAGATCCAACAGCTAGTCGGGGAGCGTGAAAAATACGAAAAGGAAGCTGCCAACGCGACGCAAAAGTTCATGACGTCGTTAGAAGAGGCAAAGCTGCAGGATTTGCAAGTGGTCTCCCTCCAGCAGAAAATCGTCGAGAGTGAAAGTCGTCTGAAGCAACAACAGAATCTGTACGAAGCGGTTCGCACGGACCGAAACTTGTACAGTAAGCAGCTTATTGAAAGTCAGGAGGAGATCGGAGACATGAAGCGCAAGTTTAAGATTATGAACCACCAGATCGAACAACTCAAAGAAGAGATCACATCTAAAGATCATGCTCTTGTGAAGGAACACTTCGACCATCACAAAGTGGACAAAGAAAAGGAGATTCTCAAAAACGAGCTTTTGCGTATCAAGAAACAGATCCAATCATCGGAACAAATAATTCTCAATCAGGAACAAGAGGCCACTAAACTCGCCAAGATCATACAAGAGGCAGACGAAGAAAAGCAGCGGCAAGTTAAGGAGTACGGGTGTGTTGTCCATGATCGCGATACTTTGCGTCAACAACTTATCCAACGGAACGAGGAACTGAGTGTGCTATACGAGAAGATCAAGATACAGAAGTCAACATTATCCAAAGGATACTTCCAGTATCAGGAGAAGGAGAAAGATGTCAACAACTTACAGTCGAGAATCCTTGCACTTACACTTGAGAGAGACTCGAGCAACAACCAACTGTCACATGAAGGTTCACTCAAACAGGAACTTATCCGTCTGGAGAAAGAATTACTCCAAGAGAAGACTAAAATCCGAGCTCTTTCGGAAGAGCTTGACCATCCGCTGAACGTCCACCGTTGGCGGAAACTTGAGGGCAGTGATCCGAAGCGGTTCGAGATGATTCGGAAGCTTCAGACGATGCAGAAGAAGCTGATTCGTAAGTACGAGGAGACCACTATCAAGGATCTACTTATCCTGGAAAAGGAGAAACTGTATGTTGAGTTGAAGACGATTCTAGCACGACAACCTGGTGCTGAGGTGGCAGAGCAATTAGTCGTTTATAAAGAAACGCTCAAGGGGAAGCAAAACCAGATGAAGCAGATGGAGGAAGAGCTTCAAATGTACAAGATGCAAGTGAACGAGTATCGTCACGACCTTGGTCAACTGGATAAGGAGAAGCAGCAGATTCAGCAGGAATGGATCGATAGACAGCTGAAGTCGTACAGTAACCAGTTTGACCATGGACAGGAGGGAAACGCCACGGTATATGGAGATCCTGCATCTTACGGCAACCCTGAGGACTAATATATTTCGGATTACATGTAAGAATTTGTCGAATTAGTGAACTGGTGAGGGCAGTGGGTGTACTGCACTGCACTGTGCTTCGCTACTTCCCAACCAGGAAAGGCTGTCGGGGTCACCTTGAATGTAGACACAAAGTATTACTTGTTATTGCCAGCTGCAAACATCAATACAAAGTGATAAAACTCACCTCGAATACTTGAAATCATTGATGAAACAATCGATATTTGAGGCAGCAACTCGTTCCACAGACGCTCGCAAGTTCGTACCAGCGTCACAAAATTCTGGTCAGTGCTGGTAGCGACAATAAAGTCCCAGGTCCCATCTACGCGCTGACGTAGCAACTCTTCCTCTTCAACCAGCACAAGTAGCTGCTGAAGTTCCTCATGGTAGCTCTGCAAACCAGCAACAGTAGATTAGCTATCCAATAAAACAACACTTAAGTACTGTGTACCAACCTCGAGATGAATCGAATCTTGGAACAACGTAGGGATGTCGAGGCCTCGTTCCTTCTCCAGGAAATCTAATAACATCTTCGCGTATTTGGTTTGGACTTGAGCTCGAGTATTCGAAGAGAATACAGCCCACTTCGTACACGATTTGACTTGCTCAATTTTGGCAGCAGTGGACTCCAACATGTACAGCATTCGCTCAAGCTGGCGAGTACGCTTAGAGATGCATTGAACCACTGAAAACGCGCATGCAGTGTTGACGGCGTTCATTGCTTTGCCTATTAATACCAGACAATCAGAGCGGTTATTAAATTTACTTGAAGTAATACTTAATAGGCTTCTATTTTAATCTACTACAATGTAGTACATTACAGTAGTACATAGTCGTACCTACTGCTACCGGAAAAAAACATTGAATCACAAAGCGTGTTTTTTATCATGTTCATGTTATGCTACTAACAGCCGACAATTATTGACACGGTAGCACCTCGCTCGCCCATTCTCAATGTCTAGATTTAGAGATTTATCTTCCGCCGCGCTGTTCCTCGATGTAGCTGGTGCACATGCCCAAGTATCGAAGGCGAAGGTACGGCACTAGCTCGTACAGCACCTTGTTCCACGGAGTACGGCCAAGTGTGAGCTCCAGGATGACTAAACACCTCAGACCACAGTTGTCGTTATCTTCTTGTAGGCACGATGTGAACTTGTAGTAAATGAGCTCAGAGTTCAGCGACAGCAGCGGCTCAACAACTTCCTTCACGGCAGCCTCCAACTCATTGTAAGATGCTGTTCCTTGCTGAGGGTCAAAGATACGGCAGGTTTGGGCTCGTACGTCGATATGGTAGGCTACCCAGTGCACTCCTCCAATGTTCAGCACCCCGATTATCTCCGTGTTCGTTCCCGAGAACGCGTTGTAAGCATTTGCAACTTTGCGCTTTCTGTCGGGCTCCTTCATGCCTGCAAATGATGGACTCACAACTCCAGTTTCACCATACTTGATTGCGAGGGCGTGCATGGCTGTAATAATGGATGTTGTCGAGAGCCATTGACAACGTCGAAAGCTCAGCAAGCGGAAGCCGTCAATAGCTTCAGAGCCAATAACGGACAAGCAGAGATTCAACGCCTTGACTTGATTCAGTATGGTGTTCTGTGATAGAGCAACCAAGAAACAATTTTCGGTAGCACAAACCGTAGAGTAAGTTTTCCGGTATCACGAACTGAGGGTTTTTTTTTCTTACCTTCTGCTCTGGCAGTAAGTCTCTGAATATTTTAGGGAGGGTGTGATCCTCTGAAGAAGGCCAAGCGACGGCCGCAATCCACTCCAGCGTGTGTTCAACAGCTTCAATGTGCTGCTTAGCTTCTGCGTGCAGTACCATAAAAGCAAGCTGCTCTTGACTTGCAGCCCCAAATTCTGACCAACACGCCACAAATTTTTTGCCTGAAGTTCCTCTTTGCGACGCCAACATTGACAAAGCGTACGTCACTATATCCTGTGGTAGTACCTTTACCACCTCTTCCAAAGTTAGCTTCTCTTCATCGCTCATCAATCGAATTGTAGGGTTGATGGCTACATCACATGTCGGTGGATTATAGTTAGACAAAGGTTGCGCAGCTTCTTCGTAGCAGTATCCACCAGAAAGTAGCAGGTTTATCTGAGTAGCCGTCACTCCAGATCGCAAGGGATTTGTGCCGCACAGCTTGGCCAGTTGCCGCAATACAAACTTGCGTTGCGCTCGATCGATCTTCTTCTTTGAAAGTTTCTTGTTCTTCACTGGCTTACTAAATTTGTAAGCCGTTTGCTCAACTCTCTCAACTGCAGGTCCAGATACGTTAATTCTGGATACAGGTGCCTTCTCCTCAAGTAGTTTCACTTCCGATGTAATACTTGCCGCTCCAACACTCCTCTCTGAATCATTCGAGCTGCGCTCTACAATTCCAGTGAAATTCTCGAGAGTTCCATCTTGGAGAGCTGTATCAAAGTCCTTTAACCACCGGAGAGCTGCATGGAACATTGGGGTAGGTTGTCGGGACATGGCAGCCACGATGCTTTCCGTCAATGACTTGGCTTGTATATACTTCGCTTCACGCCGCACATGAGCAATAGGTTTTGAGGCTTGAACCTCGTGCAATTCGAAACTTCCGCTGCTAACAGGTCCAGCCTTGATATTATTTGCTGGATGTCGTCTTAGCCAGCGTGTCGAGAAGGAAGGCAATGGTGGTAGCATACTCTCGTTGTTGTTCGCCTTTCTATAGTAGAGGACGTGCCGGCATGGCAGGCGTAGCGTCTTAGCAAAGAGGCAATCGCACTTGTACGTCTACATGTAAAACCCGCTAAATGTTAGTCACCACTACGCGTACCGGAACCTGCGGTATTAGCTACCGTGTATGGTAAAAACATACTGTTCGCGCTACCGCAAAAACAAAAACTTACCTTCGTGTTTAGTGTATGCTTGGTGCGTGTGCGCAGGATCCGTAATGTAGTATAGTGATCTCCACGGTCTATTTCGTACTCAGCGTCTCCTAAAGCGTAATGGAGTTCACCAGAAACCAAGTTCAATGCAAAGCTGCTGACTGCTCCTGCCAGACTCGAAATCTCCTTGTGCTCGTCAATCAGAGGGCGGGATCCAACCTTATTGTATTCCTCGATGTACTCGTCTTCAGCCCATTCTTGCAGCATAATGAGCGCTGATATTAAGTCATCGATTCCATGTCCGGCGTTGATCAGCTGCTTTAACCTGCCCCACTTTGACTCGAGCCTGTTATTCGTGTTGTTACGAAGATGGGGGATGTTTCCTCGCAGGTAAGCAACCCACTCCTCTTGTTGGCAGTCCCAGTTCTCCATGAAAGTCTTAAAGAGAGGATGCTGGCTGTTGCCTTTAACAGGTCCAGCAGTAGCGATTTCTGGTCTTCATATTCCTTGGCACTTGCCGAGTCAATCATTTGGCCCATCGACGCCTCTATCACTGCTTTCTCCTCCGTTGTTCCTTTATCTAAGCGAGCTACCTGCTTCGCAAACCATTGCTGCACGTGAAACTGACAGAGAAGCTGCCTCGCACTCGTAAAGACTTCCGCTAGAACGGCTTTCTCATGAAAGGCTTTATCCGTCATTAGCACCTCCACACCATTGTAGCTGGGATTGCTGGCCACAAACGTTTGCAATACAAGCCGCAAATTCTCTTTCGTTTCGCGCTCGACAAGAGCATGCTGGATGTATTGTCCCTAACAGACCAGCAATTGACAATAAGCAACGAAAATTAGAAGTGTAGATTCAGATATAAAAAACAGTAGCTACCTTTCCGAAGCAGTCCTGGACTACAAAACTGAACAGTTTGTATGCGTGAGCGTTCGTGTCGTGAGTTGTATCCACAAGAAGGACCTCCGGAAACGCCGAAAACAGACGCTTCATGCCAGCGGTTTGGAAAACCACAGCGACAGCGATGTCTCGCTTCTTATCTACAAACACGCGTGCTGAGTTGCCGCTCTCCATACTGACGAACTCCTCCAGAATCGTTTCTGTTCTCTGCGCATCGCTACGATCACCCTTCTCCGAGCGCTTCAGGCCTTGGAGAAGGTTATGGACGTCTTTCAGCTTTGTTTTTTTGCCTGGATGATATTGATAGAGAATACGTTAGTTAATTAACGTTGCATAGCAATACTAGACTTGAGATCGATTACCTGTCTTTTTGCGTAGCCACGCGAGGATGCCCTTAGACGACGACCCGGCAGACCGCATTTCTCCCATTGTAGAAAGGTACATGGGATCCTGAATTGTGCGGTTCTCGGCGTAGTAATCCCACAATTCGTTACTCAAAGGATGGTTGTGCTCACCCGTTGGCCGAACGAACACGTAGAAGTCCGACCCCAACCGAGACAAAGTGGCGTTTATCTTGGCAGTACAACCAGTGTATCTAACAGACTGATGTTGGCGGACGCCCTTCCCACGAGCTTGATGAGAGACTCCATGTGTACAGCGCAACGTCTTGCAATACTGCTTCCAACTTAGCGGGAAATGTCGAGACGGATCCCCCATCTGATCATTCCGTTTCTTCACACTTGATGTCGAGCGAACGATAAACCGCTGGTTTGTTTGCGCTGAAAATGCGTGAAGCTCAGAATGAAAGCGCTCCCATGAAAGCCAGCGAGAGGGAAATTGCTTCAGAAACTCAACACAAGAATCCGACGGAAGAGAGAGAAATCTGGAGGGCATCCCTGCATTTTGAAATGGCTTTACTGAATTATTTACTTTTTCCGGTAGGCCATTCTGTACACTCATCGGTAGAGCACCTTGTAGTTTTTCCGGGTGATCCAAGTGTAGGGTTTCCTGCTGTCCTCCCTGTCGATTTTCCGGGTGCTCGATCTGTAGTCTCTCCGTTTGGTCCAACTGTAGATTGCTTTGTGTCGGGGGCTGTTGACCTTCATCGTCCGACGATTCACTTATTCCAAAATAATGTCTCGCTTCCTTGTCTGTGCTGCATGTCAACACTTCAGCTGGGGGAGACACACATGCTGCTTCGTCGTCGGCACTGATGTCTTCATCGGCACTTGCAATGTCGTCTCCAGCATCCAACACGTAATCAGGGTCACGGCAGTCATCCGGACTTTCCGGGGACTCCTCCCCAATGCCATCCAACTGATCTGGCTGCTTCGTACGGGGTGTCGCCTGCGTCTTGCTTCGCTTGCACGCGCGAGTTACGGGAAGCGGGGGAGCTTCAACTTCTCCAGCAGTATAGCGAGCTGCGTACTGCTCTCGTTTCTTCGTAACAAAAGCGCGCACCTCCGCTCGAGACATAGAGGTGTGTACTAGCTCGAATGAAGCAAGCTGCGTAGCCTTCTCTAGCGCTCGACACCGCTTGGTCTCCGATTTCCCTCTTTGCTCAACCTTCTCTTCTTTGGACTCGTAGCTGAAGCAAGTGCGCTCGCCCCTCCAACAGCGTGTCGCTTCCCCCTTCACTCTAGATTCGAGATCAGTTACAGCATGTAATCGTCAGCGCCACTACAAGACACCAAAGAAGCAGATACAACTTACCATTAGCCTTCCTCTCCCTTTTTTGCTCGCTTTGCTGGCCAGTTTGGTGAATGGCTGGAGGATCTCTAAAATTCTGAAAGCTGCTTTCCCATCTCTAAGTTATTCTAAGCGCATGTCTCAGGATAGAAATGCAGATCGCACACTGGTGATACCGGAAATTACACCTTTTGCTACCGCTTTGCGGTAGCAGTAGAACTTCTCCCACTGGTGCGAGCCCAATAAATGACCGTGCGATGTTTATTGATTGGTCAAAAAACTGAAAAGTCATTGATTTACGTTAGAACTCATTTGTCAGCACCATGAGTTTGCATTTGAGGAACAGGACTATAAAGGACGACATTTTGGGTACAATAAGGGACGACGGATACCCGAGACCATCCTCCGAATGAATGAGATCTTCATTTCACCTTTTGCTGCTAAGACCAACCCGTGAAGAAGGCGCTAATGGACCTGCCAACCACAAGTCGACTCTACCAAGCTGCTATCGCTGCAGCCCGGTTTGCGGATCAAAGGCTCGAGAGCCGGACGCGTAGCGACTACAGCAGCAGTCTTCGACGATTCTCAGCGTTCTGCAAAAGTGAAGGCTACCCAGACCCACTGAAGGAGCAATTTGTGGAGCTGCCCGGTGTGGTGGCCGCGTACATCAACTTACTCGCCACCTCCAACTCAACTCAATGGCCCGCTGAAAAGCTTCGCGCTGCGCTTAGCTGGCACTACACGAAACCTGAGATGCTAGCCGGTGGCCACCCACACGATCGTTGGGTTGTTGAGACTTCTCCGGACGGCACCATAGCACCTCGAAGCAAACCCGGCACGGTCAGCAGCCATCAAGCAGATTCTCGCCGGTCTCAGCAAGTCCAAGAAGCGTGAGCGGACTCCAAAGCGTGCGTCCCCGATGTCCCTGTTGATGCTGACGAAGGTCATTACATTCTTGGAGTCGAATTCGATGTTCAACGAAACCATGCGGCTGTGGTTTTCTGCGGTTTGTTCTCTCAGCTTCTATGGTATGTGCCGTATCAACGAAGTCTTGCTCATGAAGAAGGGCGACATTCAGCTTGGTCTCAAACGAAAATCGCGCGTTAATGACAGCGACATCGAGTTTGGCTGTTTCACTATTCGTGACCGGAAGACAGATCATGACCCCCTCGCAAGTCGAACCTACTCACTCCATCATCTCACGAAGGAAGAGCGGGCAGCTGAAGCATTGACTTTCTTGGATAGATGGTTTACGTACGCGCGGAAGAAGTTTCACCACACCTGGCGTGACAGCGACTACGCGTTTCCATCCTTGACGAAGGTACCACGCGGCACATCCAAGAAGCGAAGGCGGGAGATAGGTGTTTTAGCGAGCGGCGACTCTTTTGCTAACGTGGGAATAAAATGGGGCTCGCCAATGTCAGATAGCAACTTTACTCAGGTATTAAACATTATCGCTGAGGCCGCTGGAATCAGCCGAAACGTGCTTGGTGACGAGATTTGGTTTACATCCCACTGTTTCCGTCGAGGTGGTGCACAGTACCGGTTCATGTTTGCCCCTGAAGATCGACGGTGGTCACTGAAGCTCGTGAAGTGGTGGGCAGGGTGGGCACCAAGCGAAAAGTCCGAAACAGTAACTAGATAACTGCTGGACGACGTACTGGATCGAGAAGAGAACCAACTGGGCGATTCGCTGGCTCCGGACGCGACGTCATGCAGTAGCGCGACTCTCGAAGGTATACGGGATATCGACTTTGGAGGCTCACAGTTATCAGACGAGACTATGCAGGATACTCAGCATACGACCGAATCAGCAGACGCCGCACAAGAGCACACTACTACCTCTAACACCGAGTTGGGAGAGCTGAAGTCACTGCTTCAAGGGCTGCATGAAATGGTCAAGGCTATTAGCGATACACCGCGTTCAACCCAAGAACAGTTGTGTGACGACGATATTGAAGTGCCAGTGGCCGCTAATCTTAAGCCAGGATCGGATACGACAGCACTAGTGTCTGAACTTCCGGACGCCAAGTCGTGGAAAGACTATGTTCATCAGTACTGGAATGCGAACCCGGACTGTCACCAGTATCGCGCGGGAGTTGACATGCTTTCACATGAGCGAAATGTTTATCGCTCGCGTCTCTCCAGGATGAAGATCATCGCCGAGTTCATTCGCGAGCAGTACGACGATGACCAAGACAAGTTCGAGAAGGACTTCGCAACCTTCATTGGCGAGGAACTCACCGTCAACAAGATCCTTGCAGCAGTTCGTAACCGAAGGAGAGCCAGTAAAGTAGCGGTGTGCAATCGTCCTTAATTGTACTGACGTCCCTGACTGTACCATACTGTCGTCTCTTGTTGTACCATCGGCCTTAATTGCACTATCGTCCCTTATTGTACCATCGTCCTCTGTTGTACTTATCCCCTCCATTATACTATCGTCGTCCTTTATTGTACTATCGTCGTCCCTTATTGTACCGTCGTCCCTTATTGTACTATCGTCCGTCCCTTATTGTACTGTCGTCCCTTAATGTACTGTCGCCCCTTTATGTACTGTCGTCCCTTATTGTACCGTCGCCCTTTATTGTACTATCGTCTCTTTTTGTACTTTTGATACTTACAAATTCCAATACAAATTGAAACGACGGATTTGCACCTTCAATTTTAGGACACTACCTCTCATGCCTACTCCCTATCTTTAGGGGGCGTAATCCTCATCGCTGTCAGAAGAGCTGCTGAAGTCACTCGCGTGATATTCGTCAACACTTTTGCCTCCATCGTCTTGCGCACCTTCTGATTCTTCTGATTCCTCATCCGGTTCTTCATACTCAAAGCGTTGTCTTCCGATCCTTCGTCGTTTTCCTCATCACTGAAGGATAGCTCACCGGGGACTGGGAACGGCTGCGAACACGCTGGGCACTGCAAGTCACGGGCTCGGATATTGCGCAGATACTGAGCGTTGTACGCCACGAGACACTCGTAGTCAGCCGTGTGGATACATTGAGGTCCTTCCAGTACCACGCCCGTGATGACCCTGAGGCAAACCACACACGTTGGTGGTGCCGCCACATGCCTGACAATTATCACTTCATCGTCTTCAACTTCAAGGTGCACGTAGGCGCGGCAGTTACTGCAGCGTGGGTCAACGGGGATTGTTCGCTTGATACACTCACGGTAGTACGGCTGCCGACAGCTGTCTTGGTCACACACCCATGTCTCACCATCGAGAGGATCCAGGCATATGACGCAATCAGTAACACCGTCGCGCCCCGTAGCCTTGCTTGATTCTTGGTGACCTTGTGCGTGGACGTGTTCCGCTTTCCCATTCTCCTGATGAACTTGATTTTCTTGTGCACCTTGACTCGCTTAATGGTCGTCATTGTCTTGATGTTCTAGCTCCAAAAAGCTGGGAACGGCAACGATGTCCGAAAGCTCATTATCTCCAGTCAACAGCAGCTGATCAACAGGATCATGTGAATAATCATCGTCATCACGAGCAACTTGATCTCGGGTGTAATCATGTTGAGTCGGATTGTCCGTGTCGAAATCATCCACCTGGTCCGACCGATCATGCCTATCATCCGACTCGAGCAGCTGGTCCAACCGATCTTGCACATCGTCAGGTCCCACCAGCTGTTCTTGGTTTCCAACGGACTCCCGCTGCAGACGACGTCTGTGACGGGGTCACACAGCACCTTGCGCTAGAGGAAGTTATCTTCCGAGAGTATACAAACTCTCAGTGAACGGCAGTTCACAGGTCCCCTCTTTAATTAAAGAGAGCGAAGTGACCTAAATAAGGTAGATTGTAAACTGAGTATATTTATAGGTAGGTTAAGTTTGAGGTTAATACAAACTATCAGTTACCTATAGAAATGCAATGTCATTTAACCAATGGTTGGTTTTGAATGACCTTGGTACCTTGTACCAAATATCCCGGAGTATGACATGTCATACTCCTGAAGTGTGAAGTGTCACACTTCATGTAACCAGGGTACACTTAGTGCTACGTACCCCGTTACATCCTCCCCCACTTAGGTTCGGTTTACCGACCAATCAGAATGAAGAGATGTTCGTCACAAACTCTCATTCTCAAAGTCGAAAACCATCGACTCGGCCGCGCGAGCGCGGCGGAGGCTCACTTTACAGTTAGAGCCTCGAGCAGCAACCTGTGCGCTCTTCGTCAAGGTCTCCACTTCGACCGTTAACATGCCTCGTGGCACTGCTAAGAGCGGTGCTAAGACACGCTCCAAGGCTGCAGCCGGTAAGGCGCAGGCCAAGAGCACTAAGCCTCACGGCAAAGGCTCTGCACTTAAGGAGGCTACTCAGGTGGCCTCCGAGGCGATCGGATCCTCGGGTGACGCGGCTGCGGACAAGCGCGCAAGCAGGCGCCGCAGTCCGTCGCCCTCGTCTTCAGACAATCGTCCGAACCCTCGGTTCGTAGAACATGAGTTCAACTCGGGCAGTGAGGACGATGCCGAGTTCGAGAGCACTCATGATGCTCCTGCGGGCTCTGTGGGAGGGCACAGCCCAGTGCCCAGTGAGCACAAAGAAGACAGCGTGCAGTCGTCCGCTAGTGATCACGGTGATCACAGTCCCAGGACCTCTGTGCGCTCTGAGAGTCCGGCCGTTAAGGCTAAGGGCACTCCCAAAGCCGGTGGCGATGAGGAAGGGAGTCCTCGCAAACGTCTCTCGCTTGCCGAGGGTCTTGCGCGCGCTAAGGCCTCTAAAGCCGAAGGCGCCAAGCCCTCAAAGAAGCGTACCGCCTCTAAGTCTCCACTCCGCGAGGAGAAGGAGACTCGACGCTCCTATCAGAGTCTCTTCGGCTCCTCGGATGAAGAGGAGGAGAAGGAGGAAGAATCGGAAGAGGAGGGTGCCATTGTTGAGCCCCGGGAGGTCTCGAATGACCTCGACCAGCAGCAGGAGGATTTCCAAGCTGCCCAGCGTGTGCGTGGGGGTTCGGTGGCGGCGCCTGTCAGCCAGGGAGCTGCCATCAACTCAAGAGGGTATTGGCCTCCCGAGGAGAGCTCTGGGGCTGACCTCTTCTTAGAGCTTCTCGTCGCTCCTCGTGGCCTTGTGGGCGGCCACACTTCTAGGGGCATCTATGAACGAGCCCTTGTTCAGAAAGAACAGTTGTTCGTCGACAACGTGGAGGCTGCTCGGTGTGTGCTTCTCGCGCCACACCGCATTCCCCTTAAGGACTTCACGACTTGTCGTAAGAAGCCCGAGACCCGGGGTGGTCTCTATCCTGTTTGGGGATACCCCTGGGTTATGCCCGAGAACTGTCCCACATGGAGTTCTTGTGAGGACATGTTCTGGGCGTGGGTGGAGACTCTCAAGTACTCGCCCACGGAGTTATGGGAACTCCATGAAGATCAGCAGCTGTCCCACATCCTGGACCAGCGTGATCTTCGTGTGAGGTTTGCCCACTTGATCAGCAAGCGTATGCTGCCAAGGGACATCCTGAAGCGCGCGGCTTCTAGCGCTCACGATGAGCGCGGGTACGGTATGTATTCATCATCCGTACCCCGTTCGGGCAAGAAGCCCGGGACTACTTATGAAGCTGCCGCCGCTTCTGTTCCCAGATTGCGACAGCCTTCGGGCAGTCAATCAGGAGCCGTTCAATCGGCTCCCACGAGTTCTCGGAGTGGGCATAACCCCTCCACTTCACGAGGAGCTGTCGCTTCCCGCGACACCGTTGCTCCTGGAGGATCCGCTCCACGTGGAAGTGGACTTCTCCATTCCGGTCAAGCAGGGGCGGAGGTGCCCTCGTACGAGTACGAGTACTCGGCGCCTCCCGAGAGCCACTCTCGTTCGAGTGCTCCAACTGCGGGTCCGACACGGGACCCTGAGGTTGACCGCCTCCGTCAACGTCTCCTCGTGCTTGAGATTGCACTTGGCCTTGGGACTGGCGGTAATGCTGCCGCCCAGGCCGGGAATCAGGGCGAGCTCGCTCGTCTTGCGGGTCGCCTGGACCTGGTGGAGCGAGAGGTCGCGAGCCTGCACCTGCAGGTGGACCGCCGGGCCTCTTCGTCCGATCTGGACGAGGCCTTTCGCATGATCCGACGGATCGAGGCTTTGTTGCCACGTCCGGAGCCGCCTGCGGCACACTCCCAGACGTACGCGTATGGTGCGTACCCGGCGTACTCAGCGTACTCGGCGTATGGCGCCGGGGTCCGTTCGTATGGAGCCCCTCCGGCGTACGGTCTTGACCGCAGCCTTGCCGTCCCGACCGAGGCTTGGGTGCCTGCTCCGACGCCCTCGTCGACGACTGTGACCGGCCCTCGCTTCGAGGAGCTGGGTCAAGGGGGGTCTGCGAGTCAGCAACCCCCTGCGGGTCAAAGTACCGCTTAAGACGTCCGACATAGAACGTCGGGTGCGTCGTCATTGACTTTGGAAGGTCGATGGTGTACGACGCACCATGTCTGGCCAGGACTGCAAAAGGTCCGATGAAGCGGTGCTTCAGCTTGTTGCTGCCGACAGAGCTAACAGTGTCTAGAGGTAGGTTCCTCGTGTCTAGTAACACTAAGTCACCAATCTCAAATATACTTAAGTTTCCTCTTCCTTGTTTGTCCGAGTACTCCTTTTGTTTATCTTGGGCCGCTGCCATGGCATCGCGGACCCTGCTGACAATGTTCAGCTTG